GCTTAAGAATATCAAACAATCGACCTAGCTGATGTTGCTCAGTGGTGAGAGTGTCAGCCCAAGGACTGAAATGTTGAGGGTTTGAGTCCGGTCACGTGCATTATCTTGGTTGCAGGCTCCATCCGACCTGGTCCTGTTGGGGCACGTGTGGGAGGCAACCAATTGATATGTCCCCCTGTCTCTCTCTCCCTCCCTTCCACTCCCTCTAAAAACCAAGGGGGGGAGGGGATATCCCGGGTTAAAAAATTAACAACAACAAAAAAGAATATCAAACAATCAGGAAGGATATAAAGAACAATTTCTCTGTGTTCAGTGTTAGGTACTGAATTAAGGTAAAAGCTGGTCTTCCCTCCTTTAACTGTGTAATGAAATTGGAAAGCCTGGCCACCTGCAGCTCCTTCCCTCGATCTGATTTAAGAGTGATGACATTAACTCCCAAGACTGTTCCTTTCCTTCTTTTGGATTTTTGTTTTAAGATTATACAATGGTCTATTCTTTTGAAAAGAATTGGTATTGATTTATTTAAAGACAAAAATAGTTGATGATTTGGGGTTGGGTTTCCAGGGAGTTTCTGAAGCCAGGGTCTCAGCTGTGTGCCTTTAGCCTGATTAAAGGGTTTTGTCGAATGCCTATTGAAATCATTCAGATGAGGGGAAACCTCCATTTCTCAAACTACATGTTAGGGCTGTCGGTTTGGGTCTGATTAAGCCCTACCCCAAATCTTGTCCCTCAGGAGTGCAAGGCAGCCCTACAGGCCCCGGGAAGGCACCTCAAACCACCAGGTTAAGGGCTTCCTGCCTGCAGGGTGAGAATGAGTCCTTCGAAAGAGATAGAAATTGAAAGGTGAACTTCCAGGTAAACCCACCCTAGATAAGGCCTTTATTTCAGGCAATAGAGCAATATTGAAGAAATGCTTTTAGTCCCTGGCCATCCTTTGATATGGAACAAAATCTTTAGCTGGCCCTAGCTGGTTGGGCTCAGTGGATAGAGCCTCAACCCAAGGACTGAAGGGTCTCGGGTTCGATTCCAGACAAGGATATGCACCTCCAAGGCCCCAGGTGATCCCCAAGGCAACTAATCAATGTGACTCTCTCACGTAGATGTTTCTCTCTGTCTTTCCTCCTCCCTTACACTATCTAAAAATCAATGGGAAAATATCCTCGGGTAAGGATTAACAAAAAAAATTAAAAATTGCTCTCCCACTCCACCCACCCCTTGGACACACGGACTCGACCTAAGAGACAAAAACCTGAATTTGCAGCACATGTACTAGAACCCCCTGCCAGCTCTGATACTGAGTGTACCAAGAGATAGGAGCGTACATAGGCTCAAGCATTCTAATGCCCTTTTCACCTAGGGGGTGGGGAACGGGGTGGGTGGCCATTTGGGGAAGAAGCGGAAGGAGAACAAAGGGCAGCAGACACAGCAAAGCCAAACCAGATGAAACAGGCTGTTCTACTTTTAACTTCTCCAAAAGTACAGTCTGGGTTTCTGGGGGTGAACCAGTTAGTAACAGGACTTTTTCTTCCCTCATACCCTTTTAAGATTCCCAGATCAGTCCCTGGACTCCTGTGAGCCCTACTTCGGTTGGCTTCAGTAAGTGTAGGGTGGACCGAGGAGGACAAGGCCTCTTTGTGCCCTCTTGAAAGACTCAGCAGTCATGTACTATGTTGCTAGCCCTGACAAAGTATGTCCCTGGTCACAGGAATGGCTCAAAGCAAATCCATTTCCATTCTTGGAAAAGCAGCCCAAAACCACATGGTTTCTTGGTGCCGCTGTCCTATCTGTGCGGTCAACAAACACCACTTATTGAACACTCACCCTGCATACTATTGGGAATTACAAGATGAGTAAACTGCTCAAGGATGTTAAGCTACCTAGCAAGCATTCACAGGACAAAATATGAGATCATAAGCTACAAAAACACTGCACTTGGTACTACTCCATTTCCCGTTCTGTTTGCCATTCCCACCTCAAGTGCTGGATAGAGGTGGTCAGGAGAGTAGAAGGCTCTGGTTTGTGCTTAGGCAGTTTGGCATCTGGATCTCAACACCTTTTTAAACAAGAACATCTTGTTTGAAAGGACCTTTTCACTTCCTCACCTCTCCCTCCTCAACCAGCTTAAACTCAAGACTTAACAGAAAGAAATGGAATGAAGACAGCTCATTGTTACCAGGTCTAAGCCCACTCTCAGAAAACAAACAGCGGAGCGTAAGAGAGTTAGAAAGTTGTACCTAATGGGTTGTTAGGAGGGAAGAAATAATCCAATCTCTCCAGGTTACATTTTATCCTACAATAATTATAAACACTGTGTTCCAGATACTATACTAATTTACTTGCAAATGCTGTCACAATTAATCCCTACAATATTTTGTAGGCAAGGGAACCGAGCCTTCATGTGGCTAAGTAACTAAGCCAACACAACGCTGGTAAGAGGTAAAGCCCAGGTTTGTCTGACCTGAAGCCCCAGCTTTCAAACAACCACATGCTAAGATTCCAACAGGCAGCACTGAAACTTAACATGGAATCCCTTACACTTGCCGGGCACCTTACCCAGTCCAGAATGTCACCTGTCCGAAACATACCAAAAGCTCTTTTGAGATGAAGGCTGCACTACAGTAATTTTAAAGCACTACAGTGTTAAACAAACTCTTAAAGGGGAGGGATGTTGACCAAGAAGCCACGTTGTGTGTGTGTGGTTACAGGCAACATTTCTTTTCCACATTTGTGGTACAAAAAATAACCAAAAGAACAAACTTCTTCCCTTCCTCTTTCTAAAGGCACTGAAAACATGCCTTCTCGGTCTTCAAACAAAAATATGTTTGCAACACTGGGGCTCCTGAAACATGCAATAAAGGCCAGATACCTTCAGATGGATTTCAGAGAACAAAAATAGAGAATGATTAAGTAATAAAACTGGTGCATATATATCGGTATGTGTGTATGTACATGTATATGTGTATATGTACATACATATATATGTGTATATGTACACACACATACACAATTACTGTGCATCTGTTGACAAGGATCCATTTCGCGATTGTGTTTGTCTACACATTTTCTCAGCCATCCCTGCAAGGCTGAGAGGGGGAAGGATACTGACTCTCTTTCCAGATTAAAAAGAAGGCGAAATAAATTACCTGAAAAGCAAAACCAGGGAGGATTTGTTTAAGGAATCCTAAATTTTCTACCTACCCTGGGTCTATTCAAAGACCTCCCTTTCCTTTCAGCCGCTCTTAGGGAAGTTTGCACACAGAGAATTTCAATCCTGGTGGGCAACTCTAAAGGTCCTCTCTTGAAAACCTTTGTTTGCAGACAAGAAAACTTGGGCCCAGAGAGACTGACCTGCTTTCCGTGTAACAGAAGGAGAATCAGACAGGTCCCCAGCTTTGTTTCGCCTGCCCACAGGTTCCTCTCTATGGATGGTACTATAAACACAGCATGTTGACTATTTACTGTGAGCTCGAAGACGTCTGGTCATTCACCCAAACCCACCCAGGCCTACCCCGGGAGGCCCCCTCTCTGCGCCGACCTCTCTGCCCGCAGGCCCAGGGCTCTCCGTCCCCTGCGCCCTGCGCCCCTCTCCATATGACACGAGCGCGGAGAATGGGGCTGGGAGGGGGTGTCTCTAACAACAAAAGGCAAATTTATGTTCCGTGGGGTCAGAATTTCGTACGGGGTCTGCAGTAGGACCTCCTGAAAGACAGGACTCTTGCAACTTAATCCAACCTGACGGCTGCAGGGACGGAGGCTGCGGGCGGCTTGCTGCGCGCTTCCAGAGCCCG